CAGTATGACACAACTAATGTTTGCCACATTAACAGCTCTTTCATATCACCAGAAAAGTGTGAGAGGACTGAAAAACAGAAGAGTACTTAACTCACTCAATGGACAACATACTATTACTTTCTAGAGGGATCCAGTTGGATTAAAGGTCCTCATGGAGATCCTTCCTCATAAGAGACTTGAGGCAGCTACTGTGCATGTTAGGGTTAGCAACAGGGGATTAGAATGAGCAAACGAAAATGACCCTCAAGCTCTGAACAAGAAGCAAAGGACACTCTCAGTTGGTCAACAGTGGGACTATCCGCAGACCATAATAATGGCATTCCCAGGTTTGGGATCAGGGCTACAAAAGCACAGTTGAGATCTAGACAAGCTATAGATTCATTTTGAGGTGTACATGGAGTGGTGGTGTGGAACGTAACCTTAGTCAGATAAGGTTTTTCCCAGTAGAAAGACCTTCATCTTTCAAGCAACTTCCTTTCTCAAATCTGGCCCTGTTTAGCACTCAACTGCTCCTACCTCCTTCCTGCCTGTCAACCACTTCCCTTGTAACAGGGCTTCAGAACCGTGAATTCCCCTCAGAGTTTGTGGAATGGCAAATGGCTATGCAGGGAAGTTGTAGGTATTCAAGTTGGGTCCTTGTCTCTTTTAATCCTTAAACAAGGGTACCCGGCAGGAAGACAGTCTGTGTTCTTCTAGAATAGATTGCCAGTGACCTAATGCAACCAAAGGAAACAGCACTATACCTCTTAATTGCTGTGTTTCTGATCTAGGGCTGAGAAGACCCCATCTTCTTTAGCACAATATCAAAGAATGTGGCTTGGTTCATGTAGCCAGATATTGACTCATGGGTACATACGCATGGATCTCATGCTATGAATTGTGGAGTTTCTCTCAGCCCTGTTTCAGTCAAAGTGGTTATGACCTACAGAAGTCGCTGTAAGGACTGGAAAAGGCATTGGATTTCCAATCCTGTAAGGACTGAAAATGGTCCATCCTGAGAGTGCCTTTCAACTCATCCAGTCTTTGGGGTAAGTGACCGCTTCACAGCTCTGTAGACACATGGGAGACAAAGGAGAGGGGCAGCTACAACCCCAAGGGGAAGCAGTGTGAGTTGGGACCGTCCCTGGCCCATACACAATTTCAGAAGACATCTAAGATAAGAAGGGTATTCTAGGAACTTGTTTCTTGGCAGCTGTTGGAGAATGGTAGTGTTTGCTTAAGGGAAGAGGAGTGAGCTGACTTTCCCAGTGTAGGAACCACTTCTGTACAAGTATCACCTTTACAAGCATAGATTGAGGTCCATAAATATATCATACAATTATGGCCACTGACACTCTGAACGTAAGATGCAGTTCAAATAGGTTCAGTGCCAGACTCTAGCTTATAATCAAAACCAGCAGCACTGGTAAAGTCACTATGACAGTGTGCAACCATTTGCTATGACAAAAGAGACGAGCCATGCAGCAAGTACACAGGCAATCTCTACTGTGCTTCTCCACAATAAGCAGAGTATACTAATGCAAAATCCAGCAGTTGTCCTAAGATGGTTTTTTTTTTTCAGAATCCCTCTCCCCCATTTTGAAATTCAGTGTTTGCCTGGAAACACCCAAGGTATTTTAATAGTGCTTTTCTGCAAATGGAGATAGATGAGACAGGAAAAAAAGAAAGTGGAAACCACACAAATAAGGTAGTTGTGAAACGAACTACTCACCTGGGAGATCTGCTGAATACTTTCTTTAACCTCTTGGCCAAATCTCTGCAGGAAAACGTTTAAAGTTGGTGCAGTTAACTGGGTATGCACAGATAGGACAATTACGGAGATAAGATGCCAAGCTGAGAGTCAGAAGATTTTGTTGTAAATAACCTCTTACATAGCAGTGGGGAAGTCACTTCACTGCATGGTAGTTTTACCCATCTGTAAAACAGAGATGATAACATTGAGTTTCCTTCATAAAACACAATGTAAAGAACAAAAAATGTTGTACAAGCCTAATTCAGATTCTACTAGCAGGGATGGACAGTCTCGTGTGAATTTGGTAGGCCAGAAACAAGCCTTAGAAGTTTTAAGCACCTGGAAGTAGTCATTACTGGTATAACTAGATTGGTAGTCACCAGACAGTAATGGTTTCAGTAGTTCTGCTTTATCCGGAGTTCTCTCAGACTCAAGGCCAATCTTGGAAAAAGCAAACATGCAAATTGAAACTTAAGAAATTAACCTAAAATAACATCATTTCATTCCATCTTTAGACCTCATTCCTGAAATTATTCAGCATGTAGATCTGCTCATGGAAACAATGGGAACTTCCAACTGTGGGCTGATGACATCAGTGATGTTTTCTTCATTCCATAACTGACTAATCATATATTAAATATCATGTGATTGCCAAGTCCTACCTTCAAATAATCTGGTGCTGCAGGTAGTAGTCTGGAACACAACTACTCTGCTGAACACTTACTTGCGTACACACCAGCAATAGATGCAATCTTCCGTGCTGGTAATTTCTCTGCTTCCTAAATATTTAGCAAAATTGTCATTGTGGATTAGGATTGCTATCCAGAACGTGATCCCTAAGGCATGGTCCATGCATAGAATATTCAAGGGACAGTAGCAGGACAGTTCAGTGATTTGTCCACACCTCCAGCTATTCTGTTCTCTTCCTATTGAGCAGAAATAAAATAACAAGGTTATGGATTTTCAAGAACAAGTTTAGAGAAAAATTAATCAGTGCTAAGGTACCCTGAGGAGGGTGCGAGAGCAAGTTCCAGCTGAAGTTGCGAGGGATGTATAATGAAATTTAAGAAATTAATTCCAAGGTCAATTTTCTTGTCATTCAAGCACAACAGAGCCTGCAAGCTGCTTCCAAAAGAATCAATGGCTGTAACTAGTGAGCAGCCTGACCCACAACCACTCTGCTCAGAGGTGTTTTGAGCTCCAGAAATGGACCAGTGTCCCCTCCATCACAAACAGTTTAGTTTGCAAACCCAGGGTCAGGTGTAGCAGCGGGAGTCTCAGAGATTTCAATGCTGAGCTCTGCTGACACAGCTGCCTCCATCATTTCAGGATTAGAGCCATCAGCTTGTATCAGTAGAGGCTTATGAAGAAGCCCAGTTCTTTGCTCATCCCCGTGAGGACAGCAGCTCTCCCCAAACACAGTTAAGTGATTTGTAAATCAACAGCTCAGTACCTGCAATATCATGGTTACTATGGCAGCCATGTCAGGTTTTTGTGCAAAGAGTGGTATTAAATAGCAGTGAGTATTACAACAGAAAGAAATTGCAGCTCAGGGCAGGCTTAGAACTTTAGAATCCTATTGAAATTAGTGTCTACAGATATTAAAATGCACCTATAGCTTTTCCCAGATTTTTAAATGTATTGGGAGACTTAATTATTTCATTGCTTACAAAACAAAGCACTACCTCCCTCTTCGGGGAAATAATTGGCTAATTCTGCATGGAGAAGAAAGGAGGCAAAGGTGAGAGCTGCAGAAAAGACTGTTTATGTTGTGACAATCCAGTGACATCTAAATAAAAGAAAAGTAAAGGCATCGAATGCAATTACTGGTGCATGGATAGATGCATAGTGTGTGTCATATACATCTGTGCGTGTGCGTGTGTGTGCGTGCAAAGCAACAAATACAACTTGAAAAGGCTTTTGCCTACCGCTCATCTATGTTGTCCATCTGAAACCAGAGGATCAGAATCATGTCTCCAAACCCTACCTAATGTATTTTTTCTTTTGGGTTTGTTTTATCACTTGGCTTTAAAGCCATTGAAAAATAAATGACAGTATCATGTAGTGTTCAAAACAAACTGGTACGTGAATCTGGAAGAGGCATTGAAATTAAGTCTGTCCGTTGAGATTATCTTTCCTTAAAGACTTGCAGGACCACCCATTGCCTTATAGTATCGAGGTAACAAGCATTGTGCAACCGAGGTGTAGGATGCTGCCAATACCACTCAGTTAACATATCTCAGCATTTGTAAAACTTCAGAAAGCACATTTTGACTGTTTTTTCCTCCCTTCAACCAAAAAACTCATATCGAGCTGTGCCATATTTCGAGTATATTCTCAATACTCTAATTTGCACTTTAAAACCCTAAAATAAATCCTACACTAAATAGCACTTTAAGTTGTTTTATAAATGTCAAAGAAGTCACACAGAGAAAACATACTATTCTCAGTCTATCCTCATGGGAATGTGTGGAGCAAAATGGGCATATCTGACAACCTATTTTCATTATTTACAGACAAGAGTAAATTTTACTCTGTTTTCCAAATTCATGGCCTGCTGTAGTGTTTTCTGTACGTAGTGTCCTGTGCTGGCATTGCAAATACCGTATGTGTTTCAGAGGAGAACATCAGAAAACGGATTGCTTTTTTTTTCAAATCCACATTCTGCTGTCGTATTTCCATATGCAATGTACTCTGTGTGTCTCAACCGTGTACTGCCCTTCTGCACGACTGATACTGGAAATGCTATAAAACAATCTGGGTGAATTTTGGGGAGGGGAAGAGCAGGAATTTCCCCCTCAGTAATATTGCATACAGGGATAAATCAGCACCAACAGAATATACTCAAATACTAAACCACAACTCACAGTCCACTGCCTCTCCAAAGCTCTGAGCGACAGTAGGCTTCATGACAAACAGGTCATTCATGCACCATCCGACGTCATGCAAAAACATAATCTGATTTCTAACCGCGGTCTTCTGCTCGCAGGACTAGGAACCAATGCACGCCCGTTTCTGAAACTGCCCCTCTATGTGGAAGTATGGGTGGCTGCCGTTACACCTAACGCGATCATGTTTTGTTTCTCCTCCCATTTAACAGACTTGATTTTATTTCGGTGCAGTGCACACGAACGCAGTGTCTAGGACAGATGTGCTACCTTTTATAGTCTCGCTATAGAACTCTTTAGCTGTGAACCCTTAATTTGCAGCTGGAACTCTAATAAACAGTGCATAGTGTTTCAATAGCCTTCTGCTTATATGTTTGAAGATTCGAAACTGAATGGTGAGGTGGCCAAGGCGGCGCTGGCAAACGAAGACTGTCCCCACATAGACCAGGCTATTACGCCTGATGAGGGCCTGCCCTTTACCCGCTCTGGCACTCGGGAGAGATATGGACCCTGCTTCCTCTTATCAACCGGGGAATATCCCTGCCCGCCTGATGGAGGAATAAGAAAGGGTATGTAGCTGGGGTCCTGTCACCATGTAGTTAGCAACCGTTTTAAATAAATAAGAGAAAGTCAGCTGTAGCACGCAATAGTGCGCTTGCTGTAGAGATGCACGTTTGGGCTGGAAACCACCACCTGATGTCTGCATTTGGAGTTTCTAACCTATTTCTTTCAGAAAGAAAAGCCTGAGGAGCTGTAACTACCCCATGCAGCTATGCTAGGCAGTTGAGTCTTCCACCCCAGCTGGTGCAGTAAGCTTTAGTGGAGGATGCTCTGCAACGTCCTTAAATTAGCCCATCCTCCAAGGAGCGGCCAATTAAGATTTCATAGCAGTGAGGGTTTGCCACTTGGAAAGCTCATAGATCTTACCAGACTCTGAGGAGCACAGACGAAGGTGGCAGACAGAAAAGATAAACCACAAATGCAAAATATCTTCAAGAAATACGAAATGATTATTTGGCTACCTTAACAGAGCACTAAAACAAATTATTTGGATATTCATAGCTGTTTAGTTCAAGAGTAAGAGAAGCATATGAGAACATCTGTTAGCACAGGTGTCTTACAATTGGAAAACGATCCATCTAAAATCACTTTCCTTTCATAAATAAATCATTACTAGTTAGTTTCTCAGACTTCTGACAGCTACAGATCTCTCAGAAGTAACTGCCTTTTAGTTTGCTAATGGTCAGAATAATCTATTTAGCAACAGAAGTCAAATGAAATGAAAAAACTTTCCCTTCTTAAAATAGGCTGTTTTGTTTAAATAATTTAACATAAGGAAACCATACAAACCAAAATTAGAGTTACATAAATATGCATAAAAGTTGAGAAGGAATGGGAAAATTGGAAAAGAAATCTCTATCTTCAAATCAGTGTTTATCACTGGTGTACTGTATATAGTATATTATATAGTCGATATTTTAAAACTGCAAAGATTGTATGATGTAACCATACGCTGAGTATGGAGTATAGAATTCCCATGTGCCATTGTATGATGGGCAATAGCTATAGTAAATGCCAGTTATAGATAGTGTATGTATTTATAAGTTTAAAGCTATCATCAACAAAGATATAGTTGGACCACAAGACTTTCATATGAAAGTATATCCTCTAAAATTTACCTTTGTAGCAAAGTGTTTTACTTGATTCTGTATTGGATAAGCATTGGCCACGTTCATTCAGTCTGGGCGAGTTCGGGTGGTTCCAGTGGATCAGGGGAACACTCCAAATGGCACATCCTTTGGGATGAGGAATGTATGGTTTTCACGATGCACTGCAACCGCCTCTAGTTGCTGAATGAAACAGAGGCTGGTTGGCTAAAGAGTAATATACGTCAGCATATTGTTGGCCTGTTTGAAACACGTTGAGAGCATCTTAATTGTTGTTCCAACAGAATTTCATCCATAGTTTGTGCAACTCTCTGTACACTTGCTGAGCTGTTTACGTGCATGTCTGAAAAAGAAGTGGGGGAGGGAGGGAGGGAGGGAGAGAGGGAGGGAGACCGAATGCATGCAATTTTGGTTCTTTTTTCTTTTTTTTTTTTTCTTTTTTTGATGCTGAGAACAAAGGAGTAGTATCTCTATAGCAACACAATAAATTCTATGGATTTTGCTGCATTTCCTCCCTCCCACCTCCAAAGATACCAGAAACCTTAATTTTGCCTGAGGTCAAAATGCATGAAGTGGAAGGGAGAGGTATGTGTGAGCGTATGTCAGACATAGAAAATCCTCCCACTTACTCTTTTTTTTTTTTTAGGGTACAACCATGTTGCTGCCTGTAGGATCAATTACATAGCCTGACCATCCTTGAGAAATTACAATTTTTAAAAAAATATATATATATTTTTTGAACTTGTTCTGTACTTCAATGGCCTTCTGAGTCATGTTGCAAGCGATACTACTCTCGGCATGTCTGTGCATGCAGATGCTATTGAACCAGCTACAATGTTGACCTCATTCTTAGTCCATTCTGTCATTGATCCAATGCTGTACTTTGCATTTTTCTTTTAAATGAAGGTTACGAAATGTCACGGAGCCTTAACAGCATAGCTGGCATAAGTGGAAAAGCGATAGGATTATCCTCAGTGTCTGCGCCCTACAGCTCTCCTAGTCCAGTGAGACGTTCTTGGTCTCCCATCCCATCTATTTTGTAGCATGGATCAGTAGCAGAGAATGGTCTAAAAAGCTTTATTTTCAATTAGCCTATGCTATGTTGCATATAATCCAGGTGACTAAGTCTGAAGATGCAATGTCTCACAGTAGCACCTGCTGAGAATGGTGTCACTACTGATGCTAGGTGACAACACTCCTAAATAGCACTCAGATGACAATAGGCAGGCATTTACGTAGTACTGGTGGGCCATACGTGCTGCATAGTATCAGTACATAGGATGAAGGGTAGATGCACCAGATGCACCATTCCTTCCTGGTGCACCCTGCTAGTATATGCTTATTTTGGCTAATGGTGGATCTACTGGCTCTGTATGGAATGGGTTAGGCATTTAGTCGATGCTGAAACATGCCAACGATGGAAGATTTTGCTATTCTCAGGATATTTTTGAGCCATAGGAACCCTGCAGGAGTTTGAGCAAACAAGCACAGTAGGATGAAACTTTGCATGGGCGCCTATTTTAAGCTGAAAGCAATACTCAGACACACTGTAGAGAGGTCTCAGTCTGGCTGACTGCATGGGAAAAAAAAAAATCCTGTTGAAGAAGAATATGGCTGCCTCTGCATGTAGCTATTTCACCTTTTCCTCCTTCCTTTAAAACTAAGATGCCGAGCTTGATGTGAAAAGCACAGGGAAGAAGCTCAAGTACTGATTGTATTCTTTACATGCAGATCTTTGCAAAGAAAGTCCAGTCATTGCTAAATATATGCCAACAGAGGCAGTCAGAGTGACCTGACAAGGCAAGATGGAGATGAACATTGATGGCTAATAAACATCTGTGTGGAACTGTGCAGGCATAGAAGACCTTCTCATTTGGACAAAGTTAACTCGCTCCATGCAGGTTTTATGGATGATTCTTCGCGGTTTTGGAGTTGTACTAGAGATGCAGGCTTTTTCTACGGCCAAAATGTAACAAAACTGTAGAAGATCCTTTTTTTTTTTTTTTAAATCTATTTTTTTGTTCCATAGCATGAATTGCATGAAGATAAAAATTAAAAACAACAACAACAAAAAAAAGAAACAAACAAAAAAACAAGAAACACTGCAAATGTATGATTAAGGAGAAAAAAAAGCAAAGTTATATATTTTCTTTCAAAGCTCTTTACTTTTACATACATCATTGTAGCCAAAATGTAAAACATGATAAAATTGTACATTTCTTTGCTATGGATCGCTTCTTTTTGTATACAAGATACAGAGTAATGGTTTTAAAAAGTGCAATCAGGCAGTCATCGGTCATATTGACCACGCCTTCACAGTTCATCACACCAACATGGAAATCAAGAACTTTTAATCCAACTAGAAGTGTATAAAAATAAGACAAACTTTTTCCTGTCTGTTTTTGTTGGCATGCTTGTGACACATGGGACCTTCCTTCGGACCTGACAGTAACAGCTGGTCTAGATTTAATTTTCCAGCTCTGGTTATGTTGTATTTTATTGATGTATAGCTCCAACGTAAAGACCCTTCATAAATTGTTCATATTAAGTAATCAGTATGAATTTTAAACAAAAGAGGTGTTATTTTAAAACTGGGACTTATAGTACAAAATCAGGAAAATACTCAAGTATAAATGGTCTCAAAGTTTAAGAAACAAGACAACAGCATTGTATGCAATTTAGTACTGAGTAAACTGCATGCACAATGTTATGCAAAACAATTCTAGCATGAAATAAATTTTGTATCATGGTTTCAGTGCCTGCTGTATAGTGTAAAGGGGAATCCTTTTCTGAAGCGATCAGGGGTTTCCAGAGACTTGCTTCTAAAATCTTGAATAAATACAGTGTTCTCAACGGAAATGTAGGAGAAAAGCTTGGTATTGCTTTGGTTCTACAATGCTAATTTTGGTTAGTAGATAATAAATGAAGCCTGCAAACACTTGATACAACTGATGTCTGAAGAATTCACACCATTAGTAATTTTAAAAGGGAAGATTAAAAAACCCTATAATTACCTAGGTATCTTCCTTTTCCCTCCTCAACAATAATAAAAGTTTGTCTTTTTAGCTGATTAAATGAATTCAGTTTTTCTTACTTCTTTGGGCCCCGTCCTCCACTTTTTCCTCACTGAGCCACAGCAGTCCACCTGATACGAAACTCTGAAAGAAACCCAGGTGTCCAAGTTGCACTTTATATGCCATGTTGCAGTAAGAACCAAGAAACACAATGGGATTAAATTGCATTTTAGATCCTACAGATGACGACTATGGACTATGTGTCAACATAGTTGCTCCAGTTGCTTGAGCAGTTTCGGTCAAGTACTTCTGTAAAGAAGGATACACCTTTATCCTCATGTGAGGAACTTCAAAAGAGCTGGCAACCTTCTAGACAAGCTACAGCATCTGTTGACTGCTGATGAGAATGGAAATGTAAAGGAATAGTATCCCTACGGTCTGGAGGAAGTAGAGATTAAACCCAAAAACCAAGAAGAAACACTCATGGCTCTGGTAAGTGCTAAATTATAATAAAAAAAACAACTGCAGCTGCACAAAACTCTACTCCAAACAGAAAATCAAGGAAGACTTCAAGCTGTATTTTAGCAATAGAAGAAAGGCTGATAATCTGAATTTGTAGGTAATTAGAAAATTCCTTTGAAGTCCTTGATGTAGCATTATGTACTTGATTTCTACTTCAGTTGACTATCTTTTCTCCCAAGAACAATTTTTTTCTCCCACGGTTTCTATGCTGTTATTCTCAGCTGATAAACGGGCAATTTCTTACCTCTAGAGGTAAGATCCAGGTTAATCCAGGATCCAAAAGTTGCACAATGAACAACTTTTCCTCTTATAATGTATTAAGAATCCAGAAATAGATTTATCTGCCCCATTTTTTAATTTAACACTAACTCAAAGGGCCAACATGAAGGCTGCTCAAATTCACCGTTACCATAAGGAATATTAACAATTCAGCCCTGTAAATCCCACATAGGTGGGATTCCCCTTCCACTGCACTCTGCATATATATGAGCCTTAGCTAACAGGTTGGGTACACGTGCCCTGAGGCAATTGTCATTCTGTGCTGCTTTTTCAATCTACCAGTCCCATTTTCATTTAGGTACTCCTCTCAGCTTATTCTGATTTGAGGTAGCCGTGTCTTTTGGTTGACTTCTGTAAACCTTTCAGAAACTGAACAGCACTTCCCATCCACTGCCCTTCAGGAGATGCTCTAAAGCTTAAGGTCAGTCTGACCCCAGAGTTCCCCTTGCACAACAGTGGCAGCAAAAAGGGAGACAACTGGAAAATTTCAGAAGGAGCTGTTGCACCAAATCCTGACGCTGAATCCTAGGAGAAATTCACCACACCATCCCAGTTGTCTTACATTTAAGGGGCTTTTGCTGGGGTATTACAATTAAAACATTAATTCGTTCAAGCCTGCCCACTCCCACCACCGGAGGTATATATCTTGATTAAAGCATTAGAACTATATACGTGGCTAGATTCTGACCTCAGGCTTGCAATAATGCCACTGACTTCTTCTGACTTCGCAGCATCGTAAGTAAGAGCAGAAGCACGTTCTGTAGTTCAGTTACGCTCTGCCCATTTCCTGCTGGAAATGAATGTCTGGGTTTCCTCCTGTACAAACTCAGCTTTTGGCAAAGGATACAGGACTCGATGCTCGTCCTTCATCTGGCAATTAGTGGTTTATTACCTGCTAACATTAAAAGCACACCTCAACCACACCTTCTACACATACAGCTTTTCCTCTGACCGCATGAAGGTACCCGTTTTTTCTGGACCAACTTGTTGTGTGAAACTGTCTCCACAACCACAATTTCAGACAGCAAGGATCTGAGAAGTGGTTTCTGTTCTCTCACTCCAACAAAAAAATCTAGCTAATACCACTGTAATAACAGTCAAGCGCAGCAGTCATTAATCTGGATAAAGTGATTTTTCACATAAATTGCCTTCTCTCTCCTTAAAGTTTCAGGGCCAAAAAGAAAATACATCACTGAAATAAATGGCTGCTAGGACAAATGAGCAGACTGAAACACAGAAGAGAGCAAGCAGGGCTAAGGCAAGGGCATTCAGAAAGGAATTGAGCACAGGGCTGCTTATGAAAAAGATATCCTGAAGAAAAAACAAGTGTAGTTACTACCCTGCCACTTTGCATATCCTTTTCGTGGTTTCAGAACAAGCCAGCCTACCTCTCTGCTTTCTATCTATACCCTGGAAGCAACTTTGTCTCTGAGCTCACACACAAACTAACTTCACTTCATGAAGACGTGCTTAAATTATGCAGGTTATTTTTAAGTCACTCACTTGTTTGAGTTTGGGCGTAAAATACCTGCCTGTTCAGAAGTCCCAAAGCCTCTGCATTCGTCTACAACTGTAGGTGCAACATTTCTCTCTCAGGGGAATACAAATGCTTATTTGCAGTCAAGAACAATATTTGACTTCAAAGTGAACTTCGAGTTAGAAAACGCATGCAAGAACTGCATCTCTTGACTTTCTTTCCTTATCTGACAAAGCAAATGCTTTAAAACTAAACACATTCATCTGCCTCCATGGAAAGCCATATTCTCTGGTCCAGGCTGACAAAGCCAGGTTTTCAACCCTCAGCATTCACTTGAGCATTCAAAAAACTTTATGCAAGCACAAAGATCCAAACACCTCCAGCTACCAAACATTAAGAGCACGTGGTCTAAGGCTTCCACTGGTTTCTCTACTGCCCATGGAGCACAGGTTAGAGATTCCTTAACCAGCAAAAGGCCAAGTATTGCAGTTGTACTAGCTCAGATATCACCCTTAAAGGTATCTGCACAGCTTCAGGACTCAAAGGGCTTACCAGGGACAATACAGCCTATGTAGTGGCTGCTGACAGTGAGTCATACTAGCACGAACAGGAGACACATGGCTTGAGCCCAAGAAATAAGCTCAGTAGGAGCCATGCTTTGCGGTGGTGGTGTCAGTACAAGTGGGTGACCGGAGAAGAGACAGCAGTGGCAGAAGAGGTGGGAAATGAGAAGGACACAAGGTGGGTCTGGAAAATGGGTCATGCAAGTAGGAGGGAGAGGAGCATATGAGGAAACAACAATCAGGATGAGGAGCAGAAGAGCAAGGAGAGAGGGAAGTAGTAGCAATGAGGCTTACCTAAAAAAAAAACAAGGACCACTAGTCTAGAAGGCAGATCCTTAGCCTTGGGACTCAGGAGATGGAAATTTTATTCTTGGCTCCGCTGTGCACATGCTGGGTTATCTTTGTCGAGGCATGTCAAATTTTTGTACCTCAGATTCTGTTTCTGTGACATTTTCCCTTTTTAAAGTGTTCTAAAAGCAGTATTTAAGTAGGAATAGTTATTATAATCTACCTACTTAGAAATAAGGAACCAGAGGAAAGAAGCATCTCTCCATTATTTAAAAGATGCCATGTTTCCTTGTCTGCAGAAGAGCACAATGTCCCTATAGGAATCCCTTTTCTTTTGTACTTTAAAGCACAGGATTATTATGGAAAATGATTAAGCACCCACACAGTTAAAATGACAGAGCATCTTCATTACTGATTGGCAACTCCTCTGCTACCCTAATTTAGGTACTACATGTCTTCAAACATTCAAAACAGTGAAAACAAAACAAAAAGCTAAACTTGTTTGACATTTGCTGCAAAAAACTAGAATCACGTCAGAACATTAAAAATCTTCCAATTCTTGGCCCTACTTCTAAATATTAAAAAAAAAAAGTAAAAATGCAGAGTCTTATAGCAAAGTGTTCACATACACTTAAAAGATTATGATGATGTGGGAGTACTGGAATCATATTGAATTGAAATTCTGCAATTTCCACTTATAAAAAAAGTCTTGATCTCAAACCCTGCAGACAGAACTCCCTCCAAGACTGCATTGTATCTGAGTAACAAGGTGGTCCCCAGTCAAAGCAACCTGGAAATAGATGAGAAAGATGAAAATGAATCAAGAGGCTAGTCATCAGAGGAGCTGAACTTAAACTCGACACCCTTCCAATCTGCAAAGGCTTGTCTGAAAATAACTT